GACGGGAGAGTGACTATAATTAAATATTTGAAATATATGATGCATGATTACCCAAATCAACACGAACTAAATACAATAAGAAAGCACGAGAGCGGGAGAGCCACCCAACAAGCCACCGCGGCCACGCCGCCCTCTTCCGGACTCCCCTCTCTCCCTCGCCCTGCGGCCACCATGGCCACGCCACCTTCGTTCGACCTCCCGTCTCTCCATGCCTTCCAGCCACCGCGGCCAGGAATGACACGTCACCCTCGTCCAGCATCCCCTCTCTCCCTCGCCTCCACCTTCCTATGTCATTCCGGCAACGGTCACGGCAGTGATGTGGATTAGGCGGCGGCAGCGATGTGGATTTGGGCATGGGGTGGAGGAGAGGACACGAGAGAGAGGGAGGAGGTTGCATGTCTGGGTTTCCATCTGGGGGCGTCAGAGGTGTATCTGCGCGAGGGGTCGCCCTTTTTTCTGTGTTAATCCGTGCGTTTTTTCTTTTGCCTTTTTTTCTTCTCCTCCTATTGTTTCTAGACATGTGTCATCGCTGGTTGCTCATCCATCGTGCGTACGTTAATGTTTTGGATGGACGTTCTGGCTATCTTGGCGAGTCCCATATGCACTCACAATTTTGATGACTATTGGGTTTGGCATTTTGAACGAAACAAAAGCTTCTCGGCCTGTTCTGCCTATATGATGTTGGTGGTCATGAAGAAACAGTGGGAGGCTTGGATAGAGGGTGCCGCAGGACCTTCAAGCTCACACAATGAGGAGAAATCATGGAATCTTCTCTGGAGTACTCAAGTTCCAGCTAAGATTAGAATGTTTTTGTGGCACCTTGCAAAACAGTCTCTACCCACCAAAGATGTGAGAGCACACCGCAATATGTCCACCACAAGCTCTTGTGGTCTGTGTGGCTCACAAGATTCATGGAGACACTCGCTTCTCGAGTGTGTTCATCGTCAAGATGCATCTGGTCCTTGGAAGAGGGAGACATCGTGGATAAGATGATTACTAGAATGGAACCAAATGCAAAACAGTGGATTTTTGCACTCATGGCTGGACTGCCTCGCCACAAGTTTATTCACATGGCAGTCTACCTTTGGGCTATGTGGACGGCGAGGCGGAAATTTTCCATGAAGCGATTTCAAAGAGTCCACAATCTACCCACCTGTTTGTGAACAGGTTCACCAGGGAGCTTCAGTTCATTCATATACAGCCTCGACCGATTTTACTGAGAGCCCTCCCCCCTCCCCCCCCCCCGGCCGGCGGAGCATCACATGCAAGACCCTTGGCTCCACCTGTGGGACATGTAAAAATTCACGTCGATGGTGATGTGTTCCGAG